ACGGGAAATTGACAGCCCCAAACCCTTCGAGGCTGTCAATTTCCGGTTTGTAATCTAAAATGACTGAAAATTGCAAATTTCGCAAGGCTATATTTTCCGCATTTTACAATATTTTGCAACGAAACTTTGGAATATTACTAATTTTGTGATGCTCTTTAAAGCTGTAATGAAATTTTTGTTCAGATCAAAATTTAGTCTATTACGCAAATGGTCAATTAATGCGTGGTATAGACCACCAAACTCAGATGCTAGTATGCGGAATTTTTATGCAAATGTGAGGCTGAAAACAAAGAGTTAATCGTCTTAGGAGATTTGAATATAATTGTGATGTTGGTAAAACTCCGCTCGATAATCAAACACGAAATTACAATTTCTATTGTGTCTTTATCAGTTTGATCAACTTATGAATGAGCCAACGAGAGTTACGCCAACATCAGCTTCTTTAATTGATTTAATTTTAACTAACAAACCAGAAAATATATCCCTGTCTGGTATTGTTCACCTTGGGATATCTGCTCACAGTCTTATTTTTGCTATTAGAAAACTTACGCTACCAAAATCGGGAAAGACTTCACCCTCGGTTAGAGAAGTTAGAGATTTTAAAAGTTTTGTTCAAAAATACTTTATTCATGATATTTCCCAACTTCCTTGGAATTCTATAAATCAATTTGCCAGTCCAAACACATCCTGGCAGGTGTGGAAATCGCTCTTTCTTGAATCTCTTGACAGGCATGCACCTCTACGACAGAAGAGGTTGAGGCAGCACGCCATACCATGGATTACCCCTCAAGTTAAGCAGCGTATGCGAAAGAGGGATTTCCACAAAAAGCAAGCAATACAACACGATTTCCAGTCACAATGGTTGTTATATAAATCTGAGCGCTATAACGTGAACATCGAGATCCGTAGGACAAAATCAAAATATTTTTGTGAGAATGCATGGTCCTTGATAAATGCCATTTCGGGACGAAATCGTAAATCGCCGTGTGTTAAAGGATTTTTAATTAATGATACAATTCTTTCTGATGGTAAATTATTGCTGAATCTTTTAATGATTTTCTTACGAATATAGGAATAAACTTAGCACTATAAAAATTTGGGTGATGACCCAAATTCCCACCAACATTGCCCTGGACTCGTTTTTATTTTACCGATATCTCTGTGAGTAATGTTGCCTTGCGTTTACAAAATCTTAAAGCTTCTAAAGCAACCGGTATGGATAGCATACCGGCAAAAGTTCTTAAGGCGGCATCACACATCATCGCTATATCGTTGACCGTTATACTCAGACAGTCCCTTAGCACTGGTGGTTCCATAAATATCTTATATACAGTAGATAGTGCATCTAATTATTCTGCAATTCAAAAATTGAAGCCATGATTGCAGACTCAGGATATTCCCATGAAATGAGAAGATAACTTAAACAGGGAACTTAAACATTGAATTAAACATATTCCAAATACATTTTTAAACTGTTCAAATGATTAAAGTTAATGTTGTTTTTTAAGCGTTTATTAGCGAGTGGGAACTACCAACATGGCCGTCATATATTCAAATGGGGGTAACCGCTGGAATATTCTTGGCTTCGATTTTACTAAAAGAGATACGCTATCTAGTGTATATAAGATATCTATGGGTGGTTCCTGGACATTTTGCCGAAAGACATTTTGCCGAAAGACATTTTGCCGAAAGACATTTTGCCGAAAGACATTTTGCCGAACGGACATTTTGCTGAAGGACGTTTTGCCGAACGGACATTTTGCCGAACGGACATTTTGCCGAACGGAGAGTTTGCCGAAAGGACAACTTGCCGAAAATAGAGATGTTCTTTTGTCAAAATGTTTGGGACTGTGCCTCATTTCTCAACTTTGTAATTCTCAACCATTATGTAAAATAACCATTATATGGTATTAGCAATGCATAATGGTCATTAGCAGTGCATAATGTATCGTTAGCAGTGCATAATCATATTGACCATGGATAGCTTGTTTGTGCAACGTCACATCGTGAACAAGCAAGCGTATATAAAGACAACGACATAAGCGAATTTCACTTTGAGAATCATTAATTGAATACATTCACAGTTCCCGGGGAAATCGCATTCATGAATGATGTTATTTATTAGCCTATATTGCGAAATTTCGGTAAACTTGTCAAAAACCTGAAAGAATATAAAACGAAACTATACTTCGCTATCAAAATTTCTGTCATCAAAATCGACAATGACTTTAATCACAGAAACCAAAACCTTGTAAGCGAACCTTTAAAATTCAGAAGATATCTCTATTTTCGGCAAGTTGTCCGTTCGGCAAAATGTCCGTTCGGCAAAACGTCCGTTCGGCAAACTGTCTTTCGGCAAAATGTCTTTCGGCAAAGTGTCTTTCGGTAAAATGTCCGGCCAACGCACTGGTATTTACATAAACGACTGGAAATTAGCTCGAGTATCTCCGATTTATAAATCAGAAGACCGAAAAAAGTGTGAAAATTACCGTCCAATTACGATTCTACCCATTATAAGCAAAGTATTCCAAAGACAAGTGTTTACTCAGATATATAAATATCTGAATGAAAACTCACTATTATCAAAATTTCAATCAGGATTTCGACCAAAACATGGAACTGTGTGCGCACTTATTCAGATGTGTGACCAATGGCTAAGTGATATGGATAAAGGCAAAATAAATGGAGTAGTATTTTGGGATATTCGTAAAGCGTTTGATTCTATTAACCATAAGATTTTATTGAGAAAGCTAAAAAATCAATTTGGAATACATGATATTGAACTGAAATAGTTTGAGTCCTACCTAACGAATACAGAGCAAGTTCGCTTGGTAAATGGCAACACATCCTTACCAAAGAAAATAAGATGCGGTGTCCCCCAGGGTTCAATTCTAGGACCATTGTTATTTTTACTTTATGTAAACGACATGCCAGATCACTTGAAAAAAACAACTCCGTATCTCTTTGCACATCCTACTCAAATTTCGTCTTCCTCATATGATTTTGAGACATTAACTCACAATTTAAATGATGATCTAAATAATATTCAGAGGTGGCTTTTAAAAAATAAGCTTCAACATCATCGCACCAAAACAAAAGTCATGTTTATTGCGTCATCTTATAACCTCATCAATAACATTGGAAATACGGCAATATTGATGAATAATACCCTAGTCCTCGAACCACCAAATGTACATGTTTGGGGATGGACATTGACGAAAAATTAACTTGGGATGAACACATCGATTCGATATGTTGTAAAGTCAGTTCTGGAATTGGGGCTATCAAACGTATAAAGTAGAGGAAGCCGATCCGAATCCGATCCGATCGCATTCGTTCGGATTTCGGAACAAAAATATACATTCCGGATTGGATCGGATTGATAAAGTTGTTTCGGTAGTCGGATCGGATCGGACTTCGATATTCGAAATAAAATGAATTAATTATCCACGCATTACCGCAAAAATTGATTATCCATGCATTTATCAAAGCATTATCGCGGTTGTCGCTGCATTATTCTTTTGATACTTCAATTGGACGTCACTTTGTCAGCTTCTTGACATGTATTTCTTGCTTTTGTATTTATTTGGTTAAATATTTCAACTTGAATGAGAAGTCTATTTTATTAAAGAATTCTTCGGATCGGGATTCTTTATCAAAATTCTTTAAAATGTTCTTAAAACTAAAGTGTCTTTCATCGGTTGAGTTTGAAATAAACTGATTTCAAATTCTCGCATAAAAATAACTTTGTTTTCCTCTTTATTTAAAGATTTTAATATAATAAAAAAGGGTAATTAATAAAAATACACTGAAATTATATGCTGTCTTTTTTCATTTATATAGGCAACGATCGTATCAGTTATTAAAGCAATTATAATGCAAACAATACATCAATATTAAAAACAAACTTACCTTCATTAACGTCGGCGTCTTTGCTCCGTTCTTTTAGACGATTTTGGGCTCTTTTTTTCTCAAAAAAAGTTTTGAAATTTACAAAATCTTGCCAAAATACAATATATTTGCAAGAAATATTTGTTATTATTTCGTTGTCGTCATGCAGTCGTTATAATGCAAATTTTAAATTTGACAATCAGTGTTCCCTATTCACGACAGTTTGCTACATACTTTGAGACCAGTGAGGATGTCCACCCATGAACTGTGAACCATAGCCATGCGCCCGCGATAATTGATGAACTTTAGACTTCGCTAGTGCGTTCCTTTCCCCTGGTGTAAATAGCCTGGTGGAATTAATAACCTCACCACGGGCTTACGCGCGAGGCGCTCCGCGCTCCGCGCCGTTGGCTCGGGGATTAAGTTTTTTTTCTCCTATTGAAGCTCAAGATGGCGACACAGTTCAGGTGAAAATTATTGGACCACCAAAAAATTGCGACGGAGCGGAATCGCGTATTAGACATCGCATTGTAAGTTTTTTATTTTCGTTCTGTCAATTGATAAGGACTATTATATCTTTTACTTATTCATTTTCTCAACGTTCATTGGTTAATTTTCCTACAAATAGAATAATATGTCAGCTGCAAATAACTGGTGCAAATAATGGTCTTAGCATGCGCACTTTTGAAATCAATTCTCAATTGCAAAATATCGATTTACGCATGCGCATTTAAGATTTTTGAACAGCAATTCAAATTAATAAACACAAATGTAAACATGGCTTGTTTTACTGAGCTTTCAGAAGGCGACTTGGCGTCTTTGCCAGAAAGAAAAGATGCAGTGAATACAAAAAAGTTGTTTTTATCAATATTGTTGTGATTTTTACCATATTTATTGTGTATATAAAATTATTATAATCTACAACAATTAAATTTTCAGATATTGTTATTGTACAGATTTGTTGAACTTCGTGACCGCCACAAAATTTCGAAAATGAATAAGTAAATGATAAAACAATTATTGAACTTGGTTATCGCAAAATATCGCGATTTGTCAGTGGCTCGCAGATCAATTATTTGCCTCTGCCTTTGCATCGTCAAATATTTGATCTGCTCGCCACTGACAAATCGCGATATTTTCTTCAACCTCGTCCAATAATTGTATATTTGTAAGAATGTCATGACTTTAAATTTTCTCTTCAAGACTTTTCATAAACAGAGAATGATGAGGTATGAATTTGGAGGCGATAAGCAGTTTGTTTGCTTCGCTTATAACGATGAAAATGAAAAGTTTTGTTTAAAGCTGGGTAGAAGTGCTCCTAAATTGGATGGCTTCATTCACGGACAAAGATATAGAATTGAAACTGACGATGATGTCTATCAGGTACAGTAAATATAAAACACATTCTTAGCCACTTACATCATAGTAACAGTTACAAACTAAAACAAAATCGTATACTATTGTTAGTAGATTAGTATTTGATGTTTCAACTGAGTAGTATAATATAGGAATCGATATAATCGTGAGATGGCGCATATCGTTAGCATGCAGAACTGCGGTACTCGTGTGCACACGTAATAATCTCACAATTCGTCAACAAGATGCTGTTGAATTACTAGGGCCAGTTGTTCAAATGCCGGTTAGCTTAATTCTGGGTTATCAGATTCTTCAAAGCAATCTACCCAACAGCATTTTTTTAAATAGGGAACTATTTTTTCTGGAAATCTTGTCTGGATCGGCAGAAGTTTTATTTTCGAAAGTTTGAAACTAAATAGACATTCAGAAATACACAAACCGAAACAGCAGGCTAAATTTTGACCCAGGGTTAGCGCTAATCCAGCATTGAACAATCGGCCCCTGGACGGTAACAAGTTTTTGGAACTACTTGTAATAAGTCTGTTGAGCTCAACAACCTTGTAGCAAGTTTTTAACAAGCCGTTGACAACTTGTCAATAAGCTAGAACAAGCAGTGTGAACACATCCTGTTGACAAGTTGTTGGAACAACATTGCCACAAGTCTGCTGCAGGTTTGTTACAACTTTGTGCGTTTTAGGTGAGTAGTATTCAAGAGCCATAACTTATTAATTATCAGTGTATCAAAATTATTCATTTTATGTCAGTATCAAATTAATCGTTTCTCCAAACAATAATATAGAGGTTCAGATTTGACTTTCACTACCGCTACCATATTAAGGGACCATCAACCAATCAGATGCGTTTGATATATTTGATTAACCAATCAGATGCGTACTAAGCTAGTTAGAAGTAGTGGAACTCAAATCTGAACCGTCAAATGAGGTCGTCAACGCGCGATACAGTTCTTAGGTCAAATATATTCTTCCTTTAATATTTATGATACAAACAAACTACACGTATTGTGTAGATGTTGATAAAGCCACTTTTATGGGTTATGTCTCATGCTCCTATGCCCAACACACAAAACTGAATTATTATAGAGAGCGACTTACAGGACTTGGATTTCAAATGAAATGCGAGTTAATAGGGCTTGTTGCTATGAACGTTTCGTTTTCCTGCTTTTATTCAAAAACGAGTACTGTGATTTGCCGTCAGATGGCAATCTAGCATACTCCGTCTTCAGCATTAAAAAGATTTGTTTTTTACAAGTTGGACCACAGAACATAGTATAAAAACAGTTAATCTCATGTCCTTTTCTCAGAGCGATATCAGTGACAAAACAATATCAGAAATTAAAAACCATCTATTGACGCCACTACAAAAATTAAACGAGTTACAGGATGAGAAGCAATTGATGGCTGACTTGTGGTGTCATTTTGGAAAAGTTTTTGTTACTTGTGTTGATGAAGGTAATAACCATACATAGTTTTAAGATGTACTGTACATGAAATGATGTCTTGGTATGGGTTATATTATTAGTATGTGTCAATTTTCATGTAAAAATTGTCTTTGGAATTACAACTATTTTATGCTGTAGAAAGATCATAATATGTAACAATTAGTATAAATTTTGCATACCAAATGAGCTTTCGCGTGCTCTGATTGGCTAGTTGACTAGTAAATCTGACGCAATATTTACTAGCAGACTGGACATGATTTTCAAAAAGAATGATTCGGCAAATTTGGTTTCAAAATCGACAAAATATTGAATAAATGGTCCCCAGAAACGAAAGAAGCACAAAATTTTGTTTAACTGGAAAGGTAGGATTTCTTTATTATAGAAACATATTCACGGACAATTTAAAATTTATTTAAAACTCCGAAACATTCACTTCAAATAAATACCAAAAACAATCCCGACTGTTGGGGAAAACCTGTCGTTATATTCTTTTATTTTCGGTATCCTATAGATCTCAATTTGGAGCATACTTTTTCTTTTGACATGTCATGTTTTTGTTGTGTTGTATGGTGTCCTGACGCTGTCTTGTGTCTTCTAAGCTTTGAAAAACTTTATTTGGAGGAATAGTTTTACATTTCATTTTACCAATTTTCTCAGCCATTTCCTGAATAAATTAGAGCTCAACAGAAACTATTATTTAAATTCTAAGCCTGGTTTAAAAGGACTAGTCATTCCATCATGGCGTTTATATATTCTAAACAGAAATCGAGAAAAACAAATGTGTAATAAAGCAAAAAAGTCGTACAGGAAGCCATTTTGTAGGCGTGCATGTGCGTACAAGAAACACTGCAACACTAAAACATGCAGTAACCGTGAATCGGCCAAAAACAGTTTTATTTCTCAATTTTATTTAAACTGATATTTGGATATTTTGTTTTATTCGTTAAAAATTTATACTAAAACAATTATTCGCCTCTGGATCAGTGATTACGGTTAATTTTCACCTCGACTTTGTCTCGGTGAATATTCACCGGTAATCACTTCGCTAATTGCTAATTATTCACCAAAGTGGAGGTGAATAGTGCAATGACTGATTCACCGAAACGCGAAGAGTTGAGGTGAATATCCTTGCACTATTTACCGATACACTAAATATGTATAGGTTATTTTGAGGCAAAGAGGGGATATGTGATTTATTCACCGAGGCGCGAAGCGCCGAGTTGAATAAACACATATCCCCGAGGTGTCTCAAAATAACCTAAACATATTCACCTCAGTGTCGGTAAATAGTAAAATATCCAAATGCCCATCCCGCCACGGATCACTGATTAAGCATTGGGGAAAAGGAAGGTCCATTGTTTCCAAATGAAACATGGAAATGGATCCGCAGCAGAAAGCCACAAGGATGGGAAACAGAAGGGTGGGAGGGTGGGCGTTTATAAAACACACAAGAGTAAAAACAACACCCGGACGCAGCCTCCTCCTTCTCGCCCCCCTCTCCGGTCCTAATTTCTTTGTCTTGCACTTTCTCTGTCTTGGCGATCAGCACAGAAAGAGCAGTTACAACCTGTAAACTAGGGTTTTATGCATTGTACATCATTATTTATTCATAAAACAACGTTAATTACTCAAATTCCATTAGTTAATCAGCTTCCGCGGCGTGTTTGGCCAATTTGAATAGTAAAATATCCAAATGGCCATCCCGCCACGGATCACTGATTAAGCATTGGGGAAAAGGAAGGTCCATTGTTTCCAAATGAAGCACGGAAATGAATTCCTCCGCAGCTCAGTTACTACTCGCTCCCAACAATACATCTCCCCAATATACCCAAACCCCATTCTCATATACCCAAACCCCATTCTCATATACCCAAACCCCCAATTTCATCTACCAAATCCCCATTCTCATATAACCAAATCCCCATTCTCATATACCCAAACCCCCATTCTCATATACCAAACCCCCATTCTCAAATACCCGACAACCCCGCCGAGTTGCCTGTGCCACACACACAAGCCAAACTATAATCGAGTATGCAAACAAATCGGCAATGGATATGGAAAAGCGATAGGTGGACTAGCATGGTCAAGCGACAATGAACGCAGAGAATAACCCGGAACTGATGCCACAGGTCTGGTCCCCGGGAGAAACTTCCACCCAATAACTCGCTTCGTAAGACGCTCAGAAGCGGCTACCGAAACAAAAACAGCCATACCAACAGGTTCCCATGCAGGCACAACAACTGTTTGACAACGTCTGAGACGTGAAGCGAGTGGCGAGAGAAAAGATGAACAGAGAAGTAAATCCCCAACGCACCCCCCGGAAGAACCAGAAAAGGGCAACAGTCCCGGCACAACTGCTAGAGTCGAACACAAACAGCTTTAGATAGCCCTAGGAAAGTTGACCCCCACCAGCCAAGAAAAGAAAAAAGAACCCAAGAAACGCAAACGAAAACCAGCTAACGAGCGCAAACACAAGATCAGTAATTTCATACCCACTCGAAAAACATATATTGCGCAAGAATAGGGTGATTCGCGTATGGCAAGGAAGGTATACTGTTCTGAATCGCAAAAACATTGGCCCTTGTCTGTCCAATCCAAATGCAGTAAGCACGTGCGCTCGGTCTCAAGCAATCATATATGGCGAGACGCACCTCTGGCATTTGCAAACATGAGCAAGTTGAATCAAGCCGTGCGTGGTTCATGCGCTGTTCGTGCTCAATCCCAAGCAATCATGGATTGGGTCTATTGGGAGATGCATTTCTCTGCTTGCTCAAACATATAAGCAACGGACCACTAAACAAATTCCGTAACTGCGAGACGCCGCTCCCGCGCATGCACCAAGCTCATTGACAAATGATTTCCAAATTCCAAATCAATAGCTGCCAGTGTTGGTCCCAAGCAATCATGTATTATAAAATGCAATCCTCTCATACGCGAAACACCTGACCCGGTTCTTCCAATCCTAAGTCAGTAGAGACTCTTACTCGGTCACAAGCAATCACAAAATGGCGAGATGCACTTCTTTTATACGGCAAACACAGTGGGCATGTAATTTGCCTTAAATCCAAATTCGGTAGCTATTCGTGCTCGGTCTCCAGCAATCATACAATTGCGTGATGCACTGCTCTTACACACCAAACACATTGACCACTGCGACTTAAATCCAAATGCAGTAGCTAAGCGTGCTTGGTCACTCAAGCAATAATGTATTGTGAGATGCAATTCTCGCATACGCGAAACACACGAGTCTTTCCTTTTAATCCCAAGTCAATAGCTACTCGTGCTCTGTC